ACCTGTTCTGTATCTATGTCTACAGTTGGGGTGTAATGATCTGTTCTGTATCTGTCTACAGTTGGGGTGTAATGACCTGACCTGTATCTATGTCTACAGTTGGGGTGTAATGACCTGTTCTGTATCTATGTCTACAGTTGGGGTGTAATGACCTGTTCTGTATCTATGTCTACAGTTGGGGTGTAATGACCTGTTCTGTATCTATGTCTACAGTTGGGGTGTAATGACCTGTTCTGTATCTGTCTACAGTTGGGGTGTAATGACCTGTTCTGTATCTATGTCTACAGTTGGGGTGTAATGACCTGTTCTGTATCTATGTCTACAGTTGGGGTGTAATGACCTGGTTTGTATCTATGTCTACAGTTGGGGTGTAATGACCTGTTCTGTATCTATGTCTACAGTTGGGGTGTAATGACCTGTTCTGTATCTATGTCTACAGTTGGGGTGTAATGACCTGTTCTGTATCTGTCTACAGTTGGGGTGTAATGACCTGGTTTGTATCTGTCTATAGTTGGGGTATAATGACCTGTTCTGTATCTATGTCTACAGTTGGAGTGTAATGACCTGTTCTGTATCTATGTCTACAGTTGGGGTGTAATGACCTGTTCTGTATCTATGTCTACAGTTGGGGTGTAATGACCTGTTCTGTATCTATGTCTACAGTTGGGGTGTAATGACCTGTTCTGTATCTATGTCTACAGTTGGGGTGTAATGATCTTTAGTGAAATGCCACTAAATAATTGACAAAAACTGACAATTTCAGAAATACATGGAGACATTGTAAGTCATTACGAATTATACCTAGAAATTCAATTGGTTTGTTATCTTCAAAGCAAAAAGATTGTAAGAAATCTATAGAAAATATCAAGTAGTTTAACTTAGTATTTCCAGTTTTGTTTTTATAAAGTTTAACCTAGTATGTTCCAGTTTTGTTTTTATAACGTTTAACCTAGTATGTTCCAGTTTTGTTTTTATAACGTTTAACCTAGTACGTTCCAGTTTTGTTTTTATAATGTTTAACCTAGTATGGTCTAGTTTTGTTTTTATAACGTTTAACCTAGTATGTTCCAGTTTTGTTTTTACAACGTTTAACCTAGTATGTTCCAGTTTTGTTTTTACAACGTTTAACCTAGTATGTTCCAGTTTTGTTTTTATAACGTTTAACCTAGTATGTTCCAGTTTTGTTTTTATAACGTTTAACCTAGTATGTTCCAGTTTTGTTTTTATAAAGTTTAACCTAGTATGTTCTAGTTTTGTTTTTATAACGTTTAACCTAGTATGTTCCAGTTTTGTTTTTATAAAGTTTAACCTAGTATGGTCTAGTTTTGTTTTTACAACATTTAACCTAGTATGTTCTAGTTTTGTTTTTATAATGTTTAACCTAGTATGTTCCAGTTTTGTTTTTACAACGTTTAACCTAGTATGTTCCAGTTTTGTTTTTATAACGTTTAACCTAGTATGTTCCAGTTTTGTTTTTATAATGTTTAACCTAGCATGGTCCAGTTTTGTTTTTATAAAGTTTGACTTAGTTGAGTACAGGAGATCTATATTTAGTGTGTTTAGTCTTTTCCCCTCCTCGCTCTTAACTGCATAAAATTGGAAAACTCCTTTATGTAGGAGTGATAATAACCTAAACCGCCAAATTCTAGATAGTCACTTGTTTGTCAGTTTGGTTTTCTGATTAGCCCCAAAATGAAGAAGGTACAAATAGGGACCAAGGGGAACCTACATCTGAAATGTGAGAAAGCTCCATCAAGATTATCTACCCAAAGACACAGCAATAAAAACTTACACTGACAAAATCGAAGATGACACAACAAGGGACCAAGGGAAACCTGTATATAAAATGTAAGATCCATCCAGCACTTCTCAAGAAGTATTCATAACAATCTTTCCTAGTCAAAATCAACAATAGCCACCTGTTAGCCATTTTGTTTTTTGGATCAGTTCCGAAATGAGACAGTGAGTAATTAGGAATGAAGGAAAACCTACATATGAAATATGATGCGGTACTTTGTAAGAAAATAGCAATGACAAACTTTCAAAATCCATGATGGTCGCCTGTTCGTCGTTGATTTTTTAAAAATAAATTCTCAAAATAGAAGAATGCAAAAATAAGGACAGATTGGATCTGTATGTGCAATATGAAAATATCCATCCAGTAAGAAAAAGTGATAATAAGAATTGTTTAAGAAAAGACAGATGCCAGACCATAAATTAATGGTGATTTGAACAGCACACCATCTAATGGAGAAAAAAAAAAAAAAAAAAAAGGAAGAAAGTATTGAGATTTATTGCTTGTGAATCACACAAGATGTATCAACATAATTAATAACAAAACATATCTCTACCAATAATAAGGAAACACTATGTTCTCGTAAAACTATTTCCGTACACTAATGTTTTTCTGTTAATCTATAAAATGGTATCTTTATGTTACAGATGTTTTATTATAAACCTGTCTCTACATAGGTTCTTTTCTATAAAACTGTGTCTGCACATTTGCTATTGGATGTATATCATATATACATCACAAAAAAAAGGCAGAGAATATAAACTGAAAATAAATAAAACTAGTACAAATAAAACACCTAAATTTACAGATAATAAAAAATAATTATTGAAGTACATATATATACATACAACAACTTTTGTTTGCTACAGATAGTCACAATTGATACCATAAAAATTAACACTCATCAGATTACACTATTACAGTTCCAGAAGGTGCAGGATAATATATAGAGCAAATGTGATTTATATTGATCTATACTTACAGTGGAACCTCTGTAATACGGACAGACCTATATTTACAGTGTAACCTCTGTAATATGGACAGACCTATATTTACAGTGGAATCTCTGTAATATGGACAGACCTATATTTACAGTGGAACCTCTGTAATATGGACAGACCTATATTTACAGTGGAACCTCTGTAATACAGACATAACTTTATTTACAGTGGAACCTCTGTAATATGGACATGCCTATATTTACAGTGGAACCTCTGTAATATAGACAGACCTAACTTTACAGTGGAACCTCTGTAATATGGACAGACCTATATTTACAGTGGAACCTCTGTAATATAGACAGACCTATATTTACAGCGGAATATTTGTAATATGGACATGCCTATATTTACAGTGGAATCTCTGTAATATGGAGACCTATATTTACAGTGTAACCTCTGTAATATGGACATGCCTATATTTACAGTGGAACCTCTGTAATATGGACAGATCTATACTTACAGTGGAACCTCTGTAATATGGACATGCCTATATTTACAGTGGAATCTCTGTAATATGGACAGACCTATATTTACAGCGTAACATTTGTAATATGGACATGCCTATATTTACAGTGGAATCTCTGTAATATGGAGACCTATATTTACAGTGTAACCTCTGTAATATGGACATGCCTATATTTACAGTGGAACCTCTGTAATATAGACAGACCTAACTTTACAGTGGAACCTCTGTAATATGGACAGACCTATATTTACAGTGGAACCTCTGTAATATAGACAGACCTATATTTACAGCGGAATATTTGTAATATGGACATGCCTATATTTACAGTGGAATCTCTGTAATATGGAGACCTATATTTACAGTGTAACCTCTGTAATATGGACATGCCTATATTTACAGTGGAACCTCTGTAATATGGACAGATCTATACTTACAGTGGAACCTCTGTAATATGGACATGCCTATATTTACAGTGGAATCTCTGTAATATGGACAGACCTATATTTACAGCGTAACATTTGTAATATGGACATGCCTATATTTACAGTGGAATCTCTGTAATATGGAGACCTATATTTACAGTGTAACCTCTGTAATATGGACATGCCTATATTTACAGTGGAACCTCTGTAATATGGACAGATCTATACTTACAGTGGAACCTCTGTAATATGGACATGCCTATATTTACAGTGGAACGTCTGTAATATGGACAGACCTATATTTACAGTGGAACCTCTGTAATATGGACAGACCTATATTTACAGTGGAACCTCTGTAATATGGACAGACCTATATTTACAGTTGAACCTCTGAAAAATGGACATGCGTATATTTACAGTGGAACCTCTGTAATATGGACCTACCCATATTTATGATGGAATACCTGTAATAAGGAAACACCTACGTTAATGTTAGAACCTCTATAATATGGACATTGCTGGTACATGTCCCATCATGTTTATACTGAATGGAGCCAGTATTTCACAAAGCTAAATATTGCATCATAGTTCAGATTCTGACTTTGAGGTTTTTGGTAAAATTTTGTGTCCAATATGAAACAACCATACCGATGACTGGTGTTTTCTCCACGGCGTCTCTAACAATGTTTAGCCATTTGCTTGAAATAGGTATTTGATGTTAACTGTGATAATTCATGAAAAGTACAAGTATGTTTTATTTACAGGTAAATCTTGACTAACATTTTGAAATATCATTGTAGAAATCACACTGATGAAATGTTCAAACATCTTACATGTATCTGATCAGGAATGTATAACAGCCACTAAAAAAATGTAAACTAGATATCATCATCTATAATGTTTACCTATCAGAAATGTTACTGGTATACTATGATGTTTACCTATCAGAAATGTTACTGGTATACTATGATGTTTACCTATCAGAAATGTTACTGGTATACTATGATGTTTACCTATCAGAAATGTTACTGGTATACTATGATGTTTACCTATCAGAAATGTTACTGGTATACATAATGTCCAGGGGCTAAAAAGTTCAATACATCACAAAATCAGTAATAAAAACTTTGATGATGATAAAAGTCTGTTAAGTTAGACAAATCCTAACGAACAATGTCCCATTATTGAAAACAAAGAGAGCACAGGAGCTCAGTTATGTACCCCCCCCCCCCCCCCCCAACCCAAAATCAGGAGATAAATTGTACATAAAATTTTCAATCGCGAAGTTTGGTCTAGGACCTTATAACTTGGACATTTGGTCACCAAAATCTGTTAAGATCAGAAAAGAATTTCACATCGGGAGATAATTTGTACATAAAATTTTCAATCGTGAAGTTTGGTCTAGGACCTTAAAACTTGGATGATGTTGTGAAGATGAACTAAATCTGTTTTGGGGTTCATGATGACGTTTGTAACTAACCGCTGAGTGATAACTACAAATAAAACACTGTAAGGATATGGAAGTATTATGCAAGGATACCATTATTGAAGTAATTCATGTGAACAGACAATGTAAATAAATTTGGCAGGGCATATCATAATTTGCACTAAATGGTCAAAACATCGGTAAAACAATGATAAACATGATTATTTCACAAAAATTCCATGGCACATTCTTCTGATGACTTAAGAACTACAAGGTGTTAATACTGATATCAAAATTATTGTAAAGACAAGTTTCTCAATTCTGAACGTAAAGTCCAGGTTTTCAGGTACCCCATCAAACACTCAAATTCAATTTCATGGACATCAAAGTTTCAATGACCACAGTATAATCCATATGCTGTAGAAAGGTTCAAGATCATAAATCTGATCCGTAGGTTGTACAACTTTCAACGCTAGTTGCTGTGGAAACTGAAGACACTGACGAGATGTCACTCATGTTACTGTCGAGAGATGAGCCAGACAGTTGTCTTCGCATGTGAGAGGTGCCCATAGTATTACCTCTCCGTGGACTAGCATATCGTCCCTTCCCTTTGTTTACAGCCAAACTGTAAGAGATCAACAGGAAAAGTAACTATAAAAACTGTATGATAGGGTGAGCATGTCTTCTATAAAAACTCTAGGATAAGGTGAGCATGTATTCTATAAAAACTAAAGGATATGGTGAGCATGTATTATATAAAAACTCCAGGTTATGGTGAGCATGTATTATATATCAACTCTAGGATATGGTAAGCATGTATTATATAAAAACTGTATGATAGGGTTAGCATGTATTCTATATAAACTCTAAAATAGAGCGAGCATGTATTATATAAAAACTCTAGGATAGGGTGAGCTATTTTTTTGTGAGCGTTACCAGAATGTGACCAACAGTACACTGGATATAATGTGGGGAAGGATCATTTTAAATGGTGAAATTTGCAAATGATAACACAAACCTGTTAGAAGGCAGTTCCTACTGTGACATACCTGTGGTCATACCTGTACTGTTCTGACTACAGTAATAACAGTTTTGGTTCCTACTGTGACATACCTGTGGTCTACAGTAAGAACAGTTTCGGTTCCTACTGTGACATACCTGTGGTCTACAGTAATAAGTCTTTTACATGTTTTACCTACTAACCTGTATTTGTTCTCTTTATTTTCCTCATAGTAGTTGATGTTCATTCCATCGTTTCCTCGGAGACACACCAGCTTTGTTCCCTCACAGTCACTTGTTGATACATACACCCCTCCAACTCTGATGGCTCGGCCAAGGTACCGCGGACAATGCATGTCTAGGATGGTTTGTTTTCCTCTGTGAAACATGGTAACAAACTCATAAACCAACATCATAATCCAGGGTATCATAAACTGAAGAATGAGCTCATGGATATTGTTAATGACGAGGAGGAGTATGTGACGAGTCTCTGATAAATGTGACATTGATATGTATGTGGAGTATGTGACGAGTCTCTGATAAATGTGACATTGATATGTATGTGGAGTATGTGACGAGTCTCTGATAAATGTGACATTGATATGTATGTGGAGTATGTGACGAGTCTCTGATAAATGTGACATTGATATGTATGTGGAGTATGTGACGAGTCTCTGATAAATGTGACATTGATATGTATGTGGAGTATGTGACGAGTCTCTGATAAATGTGACATTGATATGTATGTGGAGTATGTGACGAGTCTCTGATAAATGTGACATTGATATGTATGTGGAGTATGTGACGAGTCTCTGATAAATGTGTAAATGTGACATTGATATGTATGTGAGTATGTGACGAGTCTCTGGTAAATGTGACATTGATATGTGTATGTGATTGATATGTATGTGGAGTATGTCTCTGATAAATGTGACATTGATATGTATGTGGAGTATGTGACATTGATATGTATGTGAGTATGTGAGTCTCTGATAAATGTGACATTGATATGTATGTGGAGTATGTGACGAGTCTCTGATAAATGTGACATTGATATGTATGTGGAGTATGTGACGAGTCTCTGGTAAATGTGACATTGATATGTATGTGGAGTATGTGACGAGTCTCTGATAAATGTGACATTGATATGTATGTGGAGTATGTGACGAGTCTCTGATAAATGTGACATTGATATGTATGTGGAGTATGTGACGAGTCTCTGATAAATGTGACATTGATATGTATGTGGAGTATGTGACGAGTCTCTGGTAAATGTGACATTGATATGTATGTGGAGTATGTGACGAGTCTCTGGTAAATGTGACATTGATATGTATGTGGAGTATGTGACGAGTCTCTGATAAATGTGACATTGATATGTATGTGGAGTATGAGACGAGTCTCCATGCAAAATGGATGAAAATTACAAAAATAATTTGGGTGTATGAAATAAAAATCCAGAAAATAAAATCAGCTGAGAGATAAGACAGTACAAATCCGGAAATTAGGTAAGATGATTGTGTGTACCTTGTTTCATTTTTATCTGCAGGAACTGTAATACCCTGGACACTATTGAAGTAGATGATGTACAGAAATGGTTCGCTGTAACCTGTGGAAAGAAAATGTAACAGTAGTTTTTCAATGCCTTCACTACGAATTAGACCCAAGACCTCTGACTTTCTTGTCTAATGAATGAAATGGAAAGGTGTTCTTCCTTGTGAGGTCAGTAGGAATTAAATAGTAGTATACCGAATGAAATAATCCCTAACAGAAGGAATATATCCTCTAATTTTCCAAGAATAATAGCAATACTTGTGAATGCAAAAACAAGTATCTTTGTCCTTGAGGTATTTTAGCATGTAACCTAAACTGTATATCAACGGAGATGGCTAAACAAACTGGCTGACAACTTGTTTTGTGTAAGTCACATATGTTTTTCTACCAAGGTTCATGTATAAAACCAGCAGGAGGCCAGTAGCAGCTGCAAGTAACAGGTAGTTAACCTGCTTGGCTCGGCCAGACGACATATCGTGTCAGCTGCTGACATAAAACAAATATTTAGCTGGCAAGGAATGGTGCCAGAACACTAACATTCCTCAGTGAGACGATACTCAGACACAAGAGGAGTTGCAGGGATGGAAACTCACTCCAATATTGGACTGCCTGCAGAAACTGTCCTACATTTTGCAAAAGCCCTACAAGCACAAAGCCAGTGGTGCTTGTCCAGAATGTTGTGACATGTCCTTAAGAGATACATAGGTAGATTTAAACCTCACAATATTGGTTATTATTTATACTCTCATAACAGACAATGTTTTACCAAATGCTAAGGGAAGACAACTCCATTTCCAATCCTTGGGTCGGCTCCTTCTTCCTTTTATGTCAACAAAAACACCGAATTCTGAAACAGGCATTCAAAACATGAGATAATATATTATAGAATTGATATGATATTGCTGCACATAAAAAACATAATACTTTCTTTTGTAAAGAATTCTATACTTTTACTTTTATAATAGATATTTAAACCCAGAACCATTTATAAAATTATTCAGTTACCCGGGGTACAAATCAGGACATTACCATGGAAAGAGATGACATATGGAAAACATTACCGTGAAAACAGAGGAGGAATTCCAGAGGTAGTCCCTCGGGTGACACCTTCACAACATTTATTGGGAAGCTCTTGTGTATAGCTGCTCCAAATGCAGCAAAAGCAAGCGAGTTGTCCTTCTTATCCACAAATTCTGCCATTTAAATCAAAATCCAATTTCATGATAAATATTCATATTTAAAATTATCTCTGCCCTTACATAAAAAGAAAAAGTAACCCTGACCAAAGTTTTAATATATATCTACATATGAATATGTGAATTTGAAATTATTACCATAGACTAACTACACTTCTGATTTGTATCCTTTAAAATGACATACTCTCAAGTTTAAGGCTTTCTAACATATAGACCTTTGTACATAAAACCGTGTATCTATCTGAAGGTTAGAGAAGAACTGATGTCAATTTGGTTATACATAGAGATTTCATTATAAAGTAATGAGGGGTTGTAGAATACATTACCTGTCAGGGTTGGATGTTCGAGGTCAATGCGATAGAACTTGTCTGTCCCCACAATTACAAAGTCATTTGATATACACATACAGCTGCATGGTTCTGACGTCATCAGCTCCTGTAAAATTCAGGAATTCAGGAATATAATGTATACATTATATAATTATTAAACTATTAGTGTAGATACTATCTTGTCACAGAGTGAAGTCCTACTACACAGCAGGATCAACATTTATTCAGTTTTTCCATGTCCTAAATCGAAGGTAATATTATTCACTTTACTGGATTTAGACCCTCAGTAACACTGAGACACAAAACATACCACCAAGAGCTATATTTCAATATGATACATACAAAACAATTGTCATTTAGATTTCATTTTTGTGTATGGAGGTTTTACAATATATTATTGTAATTAACCAATCAAGATTTGTGTTACATCTCAAATGAATTCATGGTTTGCACAAAGAGATATCACATTTCCAAGACTTTTCTAGAACTTTTCCAGGATTTTTTAGAGATGGGAATCAAGTATTCTTGCTCAATTTTATGTGAGGTAATCACTACATTTCTGTGGTTTTATGTAGGATGTAACAATTGCAAAACAGAAAACAGGTATGACTCAAGATTTTATCACAACACTATTGAGATTTGTTTCTATAAACATTTCAAAACAAATGTATAATGTATTCAATTTTCATTTCAACACCTGGACTTTTCCAAGCTTAACACTGAATTCCAAGACTTTACCAAGCTTAAAACTGAATTCCAAGACTTTTTCAAGCTTAAAACTGAATTCCAAGACTTTACCAAGCTTAACACTGAATTCCAAGACTTTACCAAGCTTAACACTGAATTCCAAGACTTTACCAAGCTTAACACTGAATTCCAAGACTTTACCAAGCTTAACACTGAATTCCAAGACTTTACCAAGCTTAACACTGAATTCCAAGACCTTTCCAAGCTTAACACTGAATTCCAAGACTTTACCAAGCTTAACACTGAATTCCAAGACCTTTCCAAGCTTAACACTGAATTCCAAGACCTTTCCAAGCTTAACAATGAATTCCAAGACTTTACCAAGCTTAACACTGAATTCCAAGACTTTACCAAGCTTAACACTGAATTCCAAGACTTTACCAAGCTTAACACTGAATTCCAAGACTTTACCAAGCTTAACACTGAATTCCAAGACTTTACCAAGCTTAACACTGAATTCCAAGACTTTACCAAGCTTAACACTGAATTCCAAGACCTTTCCAAGCTTAACACTGAATTCCAAGACTTTTCCAAGCTGAAATTCAAGGACTTTTCATTTCTGTATGAACAATGACAATGGTATGAGGTAAAATATCAGACCTTTCTAACACAGAATGCACGGAGATCTGTGTTGTATTTTAGTATGACGACACGGTCCACCATTCCCACACACATATACAACGTGTCGTGGTGTCGCTTCACCTCCAACACTGTACAACCGAACATTCCCTCCACCTCGTCATAGTGAATGGGTGGTGACTCGTTTCCTGTGGCTTGATCTAACTTAATCTTTATCAACTTTTTATCTACCCATACCACTCGTCTGTTTTTACCTGCAAATAAGATCAATAATTCATTTATTCGTCTGTTTTTACCTGTAAATAAGATCAATAATTCATGTACAAGTCTGTTTTTACCTGTAAATAAGACAAATTATTCATGTATTCATCTGTTTTTATCTGTAAATAAGACAAGTTATTCATGTACAAGTCTGTTTTTACCTGTGAATAAGACAAATTATTCATGTATTCATCTGTTTTTATCTGTAAATAAGACAAGTTATTCATGTACAAGTCTGTTTTTACCTGTGAATAAGACAAATTATTCATGTATTCATCTGTTTTTATCTGTAAATAAGACAAGTTATTCATGTACGAGTCTGTTTTTACCTGTGAATAAGACAAATTATTCATGTATTCATCTGTTTTTATCTGTAAATAAGACAAGTTATTCATGTACAAGTCTGTTTTTACCTGTAAATAAGACAAATTATTCATGTATTCGTCTGTTTTTACCTGTAAATAAGACAAGTTATTCATATACAAGTCTGTTTTTACCTGTAAATAAGACAAATTATTCATGTATTCGTCTGTTTTTACCTGTAACTAAGATCAATAATTCATGTACAAGTCTGTTTTTACCTGTTTTTACAGGACAAATAATTCATGTATGTCTCTATATATTGTGTGATTACTTCATATTTAATATTAATTGACATTATTGTCTTGACATGAGACTATGTAACTACATGACTACAATGCATATGGTTACATAATACTGTGAAAATCACCTGATACAGTACTGCAGTTGAAAAGGTATTAACATGCAGGAGACACAATGCTTGGTGCAGCAATATAACACCTGGTCTAAAATGTATTCAAGTTGTTCAAGCACAATCCGTGGGAGAATATAAATAATTTCCTTACCCTGTTTCAGTTTGTGTACAACAGTAAACAACTGAATGATAACTTGTCTTACCTATCACCATGATAACCATGCCCACCGCACTGATAATCTCTATCTGATGGACACTTTTGAAGCCAGTTAACTTCGTCAATGTTGATGGCTTGCCTATTTGCATGCTGACTGCATACAATCCCTCATCAGCTCCCAACAGCAGCAACTGAAACAGAGTATATAAAATTTATATATCCTGGAAACATGTCCAAGTGCAGAACATGATATCACAATACTTAGATCAGGATGTGACAGTGCTGAGACACTGTGATCAAGGAATACTTTACTGATTGAGAATATTACCTGCTTGGAGAAAACTTTGGTACAGTTCAAATCCAGTCGTTTCTCACCCATCAACTCCATTATCACTGTAGTTTGTAATTTCTGTAAAGAGAATAAATTGAGAAACTGAGAGAACAATGTTATAGAAGAAAGTATCTGGTTCTATCCATCATCCTCCTACAGTAAGAGTTGTGTGTCTCAATCCAGGCTAACATAACTAAGTATCTGGTTCTATCAATCATCCTCCTACAGTAAGAGTTGTGTCTCAATCCAGGCTAACATAACTAAGTATCTGATTCTATCAATCATCCTCCTGCAGTAATAGATGTGGGTCTCAATCCAGGCTAACATAACTAAGTATCTGCTTCTATCAATCATTCTCCTACAGTAAAAGATGTGTGTTTCAATCCAGGCTAACATAACTAAGTGTCTGATTCTATCAATCATTCTCCTACAGTAAGAATTGTGTGTCTCAATCCAGGCTAACATAACTAAGTATCTGGTTCTATCAATCATTCTCCTACAGTAAGAATTGTGTGTCTCAATCCAGGCTAACATAACTAAGTATCTGATTCTATCAATCATCCTCATACAGTAATAGTTGTGTGTCTCAATCCAGGCTGACATAACTAAGTATCTGGTTCTATCAATCATCCTCCTACAGTAATAGTTGTGTGTCTCAATCCAGGCTGACATAACTAAGTATCTGATTCTATCAATCATCCTCATACAGTAATAGTTGTGTGTCTCAATCCAGGCTGACATAACTAAGTATCTGGTTCTATCAATCATCCTCCTACAGTAATAGTTGTGTGTCTCAATCCAGGCTGACATAACTAAGCATCTGATTCTATCAATCATTCATTACTGTTTGAAGTTCTACCTGTCTTTTCACACCGTCATTTTTCTGAAAGTTTTTCACTGCGCCTTCGAAACATGCGACCCACTTGGACTTTTCTGAGAAGTTCATAGCCATCAGGTATAAAACTCTGCAAAAGGAAAGAGAAACACACTTTAACACATAATAAAGCTATATCTAGTGATGTCACAACCCTATTGTGACTAGTGGAGTGAGAGTGAGCTGTCTTTTCTCATGGAGTTATCTTTCCTTGGATAATTTGTTATTCTACAAGACATGTATGTCTCTGCTTCTATATCACTAGAATCTGATTCAGATAAGTGTAGGACTTAATCATATGATTCTATAGTGTAAATATGAACAAAATCTCAAGATATAAAATTGATTCATCACAGAATGTAACAAAATGCGACCTGACAGATAAAAATGGGTAACACCTGCCTTCCTGCTATGACTGTTCCAGATGCCTGTTAACATACCTGCCAGGCCAACATGTGGTCAGTGGTTCATGCTCCACCTTGATAACATGGCTAAGGTCTGTGAGGGCAGTATTGGGAAGCTCTGCTGCACTGATGGCACTGTGTACTGTCACATCCGTCTCCTGAGGATTCAGCTGGAAGGAATCTACAGGATTGGCGTCTTTTTCGTTGTTGTATAACATAAGGATGTTGTCTTCCAGCGACGCCCACTTCTTCTCCCATCCCTGTGTCCCTGTACTATAACAGAGAAACCACAAACTTGTGAAAGGAAATCGGTTAGAATTATCATCTGATATATTTTTTAATATAGTTCATCAATTACATAATTTGCTGTGTGTTCAATATTCATAGAAAGTGAATATATTCTCCATTGCAATAATATCTTCTTTTTTAAAACTTTTAAACTAAAATATCTAGAAATTGCATTAGTATGAATATAACTGGCGATAGGCATCTTAATTATACAAAATATGAATTTTGGTTTTGCAAAAATGCAAAGAAAGTATTAAGGTTCTGGCAATTGATTGTGAAAACATATGATCATTCTTTGCACCACATGAGATTAAACCATCTGATAATCAATTAATTTTAATTATCATCCCATCACTACCACAAATCCTTGAGAGGGTCCGTAATAGCTTGTAATATTGAAGATTCTGTATGTATATGTATTGTACATGGATATTAAGTAGAAGTCCTTTGTATGTAAGTGTATAATACCTGGGTTTTTTGTGGAAACCCTATGTGTTTGTGTATAGTACCTGGGTGTCTAGAGGAAACCATATGTGTTTGTGTATAGTACCTGGGTGTCTAGAGGAAACCCTATGTATGTTTGTGTATAGTACTTTGGTGTCTAGAGGAAACCATATGTGTTTGTGTATAGTACCTGGGTGTCTAGAGTAAACCATGTGTATGTTTGTGTATAGTACTTGGGTGTCTAGAGTAAACCATGTGTATGTTTGTGTATAGTACTTGGGTGTCTAAAGGAAACCCTATGTATGTTTGTGTATATTACTTGGGTGTCTAGAGGAAACCCTATGTATGTTTGTGTACAGCAGTGATATGAGGTAGTATATATTTAATCAATACCTGGGTACTTTCAGGAATCCCTTCATGTGTATAGGTCGATCATCCTTACACAGAGATACCTTTCTGTTGACTGGAGTGTCATCATCACGGCTCATTATTTCCTGGAAATGTTGAACATATTCTGTAGGGAGGCCACACGTGGCAGGAGCCGCTGACAGACACTTTGGGTGGCACACCATGTGACACTCTGAAAGGATATATGTTCATGACATTATCATTGCTAAAGCAATCTCATAATTACTTTCTATACAGCAGGGATCCTAAGAGCTATGAAATAAAGACAAAACATGAAATAAAACTTTGCATGTGTTATTAATGAATAGTCATTATCTTCAAAATTTTGTCAAAAAGCTTTTTTCATGGTTATTGATGAAAAAGTTTGTTATCACAAAAGAATTCTTAAGTAGAAAGTTAGTTCTGTCACTTATCTGACACTTCAACACTTCATTTTCTGTCACAAGGGAAAAGCTGTTGTTTTATAGTTTTATATCTACAAACTATTTCCCTCCATACAAGCTTTTGTCACCTGATTGAAAGTATTAGATATGAAAATATTTGCTCTACTTTTAATCCATGCACTGGGAATTCCCTGTTAATAGCACAATTACGATGACAAACCTTGACACTTGGATGCCTGTTTGACAAAAGGTACACTGCCGAGACACACAGCACACTTTGTGGCACGTGTATTGAGCCCGGTGACGAAGCGGTGTGGAATGTTATGGTGCATCCTCTGACTAGGTGTCTGGGGCAGGCGGTAGGAGTACATACTGCTAGCTCTCTTAACACTGGGGGTCAGGAGATTGACAGGGGCAGAGTGAGCTGAAGGTGACCTGACTAAAGCTGCCACAGCAGCCCTGTCATTTGGTGTCAGGGTTTCATTCTCCTTCAGCGATCCAACCAACTTAAGCACTGAAAATACAACACACTTAACATGTATTGAATCTTGCTTTTGCTGATTTCATGGGGAGATGAATCAAGCTGCTCTTAGGACAAATTCAACACATGTTTTTGTCTCAAGAGCAAATCAATTCATCATGCTTATAATTAACTTAAGACATTTTTTTCATGTTATATATTTATATTTTAGACACTAGGATATGTGGAAGAAAGATGACTAAACTGAGTCCTACAGTCATCTCCCACGTTATATATATATATATTTTAGACACTAGGATATGTGGAAGAAAGATATCTAAACAGTCCTACAGTCGTCTCCATATATATATAAACAACATAATCAAATTATAATAACTGATTTTGTCAATATATTTTAGACACTAGGATATGTGGAAGAAAGATATCTAAACAGTCCTACAGTCGTCTCCCACATTATATATTTATATTTTAGACACTAGGATATGTCAGTCCTACAGTCGTCTCCCACGTTATATATTTATATTTTAGACACTAGGATATGTGGAAGAAAGATGACTAAACTGAGTCCTACAGTCATCTCCCACGTTATATATATATATTTTAGACACTAGGATATGTGGAAGAAAGATATCTAAACAGTCCTACAGTCGTCTCCCATGTTATATATATATATATTTTAGACACTAGGATATGTGGAAGAAAGATATCTAAACAGTCCTACAGTCGTCTCCCACGTTATATATATATATTTTAGACACTAGGATATGTGGAAGAAAGATATCTAAACAGTCCTACAGTCGTCTCCCACGTTATATATATATATATTTTAGACACTAGGATATGTGGAAGAAAGATATCTAAACAGTCCTACAGTCGTCTCCCACGTTATATATTTATATTTTAGACACTAGGATATGTGGAAGAAAGATATCTAAACAGTCCTACAGTCGTCTCCCACGTTATATATATATATATTTTAGACACTAGGATATGTGGAAGAAAGATATCTAAACAGTCCTACAGTCATCTCCCACGTTATATATATATATTTTAGACACTTGGATATGTGGAAGAAAGATATCTAAACAGTCCTACAGTCGTCTCCCACGTTATATATTTATATTTTAGACACTTGGATATGTGGAAGAAAGATATCTAAACAGTCCTACAGTCGTCTCCCACGTTATATATATATATTTTAGACACTTGGATATGTGGAAGAAAGATATCTAAACAGTCCTACAGTCGTCTCCCACGTTATATATATATATTTTAGACACTTGGATATGTGGAAGAAAGATATCTAAACAGTCCTACAGTCGTCTCCCACGTTATATATATATATTTTAGACACTTGGATATGTGGAAGAAAGATATCTAAACAGTCCTACAGTCATCTCCCACGTTATATATATATATTTTAGACACTAGGATATGTGGAAGAAAGATAACTAAACAGTCCTACAGTCGTCTCCCACGTTATATATTTATATTTTAGACACTTGGATATGTGGAAGAAAGATATCTAAACAGTCCTACAGTCGTCTCCCACGTTATATATTTATATTTTAGACACTTGGATATGTGGAAGAAAGATGACTAAACTGAGTCCTACAGTCGTCTCCCACGTATATATATATATATTTTAGACACTAGGATATGTGGAAGAAAGATATCTAAACAGTCCTACAGTCGTCTCCCACGTTATATATTTATATTTTAGACACTAGGATATGTGGAAGAAAGATATCTAAACAGTCCTACAGTCGTCTCCCACGTTATATATTTATATTTTAGACACTAGGATATGTGGAAGAAAGATATCTAAACAGTCCTACAGTCGTCTCCCATGTTATATATATATATTTTAGACACTAGGATATGTGGAAGAAAGAGAAAGTCTCCCACGTTATATATATATATATTTTAGACACTAAGATATGTGGAAGAAAGATAACTATACAGTCCTACAGTCGTCTCCCACGTTATATATATATATTTTAGACACTAGAATATGTGGAAGAAAGATATCTAAACAGTCCTACAGTCGTCTCCCACGTTATATATATATATTTTAGACACTAGGATATGTGGAAGAAAGATATCTAAACAGTCCTACAGTCGTCTCCCACGTTATATATTTTAGACACTAGGATATGTGGAAGAAAGATATCTAAACAGTCCTACAGTCGTCTCCCATGTTATATATATATATTTTAGACACTAGGATATGTGGAAGAAAGATATCTAAACAGTCCTACAGTCGTCTCCCACGTTATATATTTATATTTTAGACACTAGGATATGTGGAAGAAAGATATCTAAACAGTCCTACAGTCATCTCCCACGTATATATATATATATTTTAGACAAGGATATGTGGAAGCTAAAAACAGTCGTCTCCCACGTTATATATTTATATTTTCAATGTGATTTAATTCTTACTATCAATATTATATTTTACAAATCTGGAGCCAATTTCTTGTTTATAAAAACAATTTATTTAAAGTTTAGCATCAAATGCACAAGATTTATCCCGCCGTACAGAATCTGTAAAGGATGCATTCATTCACCCATTTTATTATTAATATTAATCTAATCAAATTCCTGGACAAATGAAACAGGCTAAATTTGATTGTTTCACTGCGATCAACTTCAGTAGAAACTGAAATATAAATTGATAAATCAAAATAGAAACCTTCTGGAGTATCATATATAACAAATATCTGTAAAAATAATATATAACAGTTCTGTGTAGGATTATATATAACAGGTCTGTGTAGGATTATATACAACAGTTCTGTGTAGGATTATATATAACAGTTCTGTGTAGGATTATATATAACAGTTCTGTGTAGGATTATATACAACAGTTCTGTGTAGGATTCTATATAACAGTTCTGTGTAGGATAATATATAACAGTTCTGTGTAGGATTCTATATAACAGTTCTGTGTAGGATTATATATAACAGTTCTGTGTAGGATTATATATAACAGTTCTGTGTAGGATTATATATAACAGGTCTGTGTAGGGTTATATATAACAGTTCTGTGTAGGATTATATATAACAGTTCTGTGTAGGATTATATATAACAGTTCTGTGTAGGATTATATATAGCAGTTCTGTGTAGGATTATATATAACAGTTCTGTGTAGAATTATATATAACAGTTCTGTGTAGGATTATATATAACAGTTCTGTGTAGGATTATATATAACAGTTCTGTGTAGGATTATATACAACAGTTCTGTGTAGGATTATATATTACAGTTCTGTGTAGGATTATATATAGCAGTTATGTGTAATATTATACAGGACCTTTCTCTAAAACATTTTGAGCAAAAGATCTAAATGCAGAATTTTTTAAGGAAATGTTTTTCGTTAGAGGCGAGGCATTCTCTCATTTTTATTTGCTGTACAGAACTCTTCCACTGAAAATGCTTAAATTAGCACAAGGAACCAAACCTGTCCACCCATAACCACAAAATACTGATAAGCAGATATACTTCAGCATTACAAAGACACCGCAGATAATACAAGAGTATAGTTTGTCCTGAGTACACGAGATAATTACCCCTACCTGACTGTTTTTTCTCCGGAGCTCCAACAGGTGTGGTGTTCTGTTCACACCCTGATAGAAGGTAATAAACCATGTTGGATGTTATATTTATAAATCACAGACCCTTGTAGTAGAGCTCCACCTAATATACAGTCTTTACATAAGCTTTTTTTAAAGTTTTTTTTTTTTTGCCATTTTTTAAGTTTCAAGACACCACAAGTCTCCATAACTTATAAACCTCATAAAAATGTATTTCAGCTTTCCTAAACCAACTAATTTCTCTTTTGAAACACCCAAAGAAAACATGAAATTCTCTTACCAAGCAAACATAAAGCTGGGTCCAATCCTAGTTTATAACTTAAACTAATTTCTTCCTAACTGTATTTCTATCCTACATTAATTACATATTTTAATTGGTGTACCATTCTGTCATTTTTGTCAATTTGACATAACACTGAGACATTCTATATATATATATGGATGGGAAGGACTGTTATTTCATGAAAAAGTCATCAGTATCATTAATTTCTTTGCACAGCCTGATTTATCACTACAGTAATTCTACTAATCAACACAATGTATACAGTTGTGGCATTAAACTTTCCAATCCACTGATACAGAATGACCACTGCCATCAAACTGACTATATAAACTACCGGTTTCATTATACCATACTTACATTCATTAGCCTGTGTAAACTTTTCCTGTCTCAGTTTCTCGTTCTGCTCCTGAAGCTTATTGCAGCGCTTTCGTTCCTGGTCAAGTGCTGACTGTAGATCAAGGAAAGGTATTGGATTTCCAGGGCTAACTACATCCTTAGATTTACCACTTCCAAACAGCTTACTGCCCGACTACAACAAACAGTGACACAATTACCACTCCCAAACAGTTTACTGCCTACTGCCCGACTACAACAAACAGTGATACAATTACCACCCCCAAACAGTTTACTGCCCGACTACAACAAACATTGACACAATTATCACTCCCAAACAGCTTACTGCCCGACTACAACAAACAGTGACACAATTACCACTCCCAAACAGTTTACTGCCCAACTACAACAGACAATGACACAATTACCACTCCCAAACAGCTTACTGCCCGACTACAACAGACAGTGACACAATTACCACCCCCAAACAGCTTACTGTTCGACTACAACAAACTGTGATACAATTATCACTCCCAAACAGCTTACTGCCCGACTACAACAAACAGTGACACAATTACCACTCCCAAACAGCTTACTGCCCGACTACAACAAACAGTGACACAATTACCACTCCCAAACAGCTTAGTGCAAAACTACAACAAATGTGAAACATTTAGCATTTCTAATATGCTTATACACAAATAAACTAGCAATAAAAAAATTTACTAATTTAATACAAAATGATTTTATGACTCATGGAACATTTTTATCAAAACTAACCTTCTTCTTCTTGGAAGCATTGTTCTCTGCCCACAGAGCATGAAGATAGTCAATAAGCTTCATCTGCTGGCCTATTGTGCTCTCAAATTTATATTTCTCCAGGAAATGTACACCCTAAATCAACACAATGCCAAAAGATCATCAGCAGATAATGGAGCGATGATCAGAAATAAATGATAAACTAATTGTTTCATCTCAACTGATGCAATGATCAATTAATATATTTCATAATCAATTATTGGAACCATAATAATTTGTAACATTTTAACTGAATTTTGATATTATACATAAAAAATGTCAATTACCAGAACATTTTTTAAACGAAAGTTTGATGGGAATTTGAGGCTTAATATTTCAAACATGCCAAAATATGTCCTGAACATGTTAATCACCAATAGGCATACAGGTATGGGCACTTAATGTAGAATTATTTTGAAACATTGATGGAGATCTGACCTGCAGAGCATCTGTGAAGTTTTCTAGGTCCACCTTCTCACCAAAGATGAGCTCAAATTTATCCATGGCCTCGTCCAGATTGTGTTTCAGCTTTAGATTCTTGGTCCTTAGATCCTGACATTCTGTCATTACCGTGGATATCTGTGAAAATCCGATCAAAAGTCACTTGTCAAAACATCAAAACAAATCGTTTTTGTAGTATTAAGTTGATGTGTAAAATTACAAACTTTGCCAATACATTTAGTTTTCTATTTGTATTGCTTATGTATTGCTTACTGTGTTAATTTCCATCCCAAGAATATTTTGTTTACACAATTAAATAATACTGCTTTTTATTACCATCATTACAATATATTAAGAAAATGCTTTTTTCATTCAGTTATCCCAATTGTTTGGAAAATTAGATTGATTTCAGATTTTGCTTTGAATTAATTTTATGCTAGAGTTACCTCCTCTTTGAGAGCTCTTTTCTCATCCAGGTCAGTCTCCAGGTTACGTTTTTGTGAATCAGCTACACATTTGAGCTGCATGTTATGTTCCTTCAGCTCTGACACCTGAACAGAATCAAATTGATTGACTATAGTGTTAAGCTGAAGTAGGTAAAAAATCAAAATGTGTATTAAAAAAACCTAACTGAACAATGATTCAAGTAGTGAATCAAAGCTGTTGAACTTGATTCTCCATGTTTTGTGGTGCATTGTATCTCCTTTGGAAAAATGTCTAGAGCACAGTCTGTAATATACTATAATAGTATCTAGTCATGGCTGAAAACCTGGTTTAAACCATGTATAAGTTCTATAGACTAACCTGAGATTCAGTTTTCAAACCGGCCCTCTGTATCTCCCAAATTTTATGGTTAAGAGACTCAATTTCAGCCTTGTGAGCCGCCTTCATGGACGTCATCTGCTGTTTCATGGTTGCCACCTTCTCACTGGCTGTATGTCTGTAAGTGTATTGGTAACATACAAATGCCACACATTCACAATTATAAAGTATAAAACACCAGAAAAAATGATATGAATTACAATACATACATGTACTGTAAAAAAGTAATTTTCTAGGGGTTCTATTGGAATAATAAAATAAAATTGTTAAAAAATAGATTCTTTACAGAAAAAATAAAACCTATAAAAAAGTTTATTGTGAAGATTTCTATGAAATATCTATTGAACATTGGGTAAATTGATTTGAAAAAAAGGAAAAAACAACAAAACAAAACAAAACTTTATTCCAATATTGACAGAGGGATATGATTACTGTCATTTAGAGGGGATTAGGGTGTAGAGTGTTTAGTTTACAAATTCATTTTGTAGAAGTTGGAGATATGTTATTCACTAACAGTGCTAAAGATGTTTACAAATTTTGCTAAATAGAATTTCTTAAACATAAGGTCAACCAAAAAAGAAAGGTTTTGGAGAGGAAAGAGTGATCTTGGCACCAGTCATCCATTATGATATAATCTTTTATCACATTTTTTATAGTTGGATCTTTTCTGTTCTATCCTTTTATTTGAACTTTATGATGTCTTGTATTGACAGTATCAAAATAAGAAGTCAAGCAGCCAATAGTATAGTTATATAACAGGCATTTATAAACGTGTTGATAGAGAACTGATCAACCAATATCTGAAGGTTACTCAGATCAATAATTTCTGTAATAAATAAGGCTTACTTTGCTTGCTCTAAGGCGTGTAGTCTGTGTGAGGTTCCCTCTATTTCTTCCTCTCTTTCCACCACTGCTGTCTCAAATGTTTTCCTGGAAAATGAAGTAAATAATCTGTATTATTATATTATTGACAAATCTAAACATTAAATGCTGATCTATCGTGAGGTTTTGTACAGGTATTTAAATTAAGATAGTGCAATAGGTTAAAATACATTTTGAGACAAGACTACAAATCTATTTTCATATTTGGTAAGATGCTGTTGAAATTTGAAAATTCCTCGGTATAACCTCTAAAACTATTGAAGTATAATAATAATAATTCCTTGATGACACTGACCTAATCTTATTCCATTCTCCCTGCTGGCGTTCATGTTCCTCACTCAAAGCCTCAAGGTCCTGTAGCTGTTCTTCTAGCTCGCTACATACTGTCTGAAGCTTAGCTACTTTCTACAACAGTAAAATACACACCACATGAACTATGTTACATAAGTGCTTTCTACAACAGTAAAATATACACTACATGATCAATCTGTTACTTAAGTGCTTTCTACAACCGTAACTCGCCAACTGTCAGTAACTTAACTACTTTCTACCACAGTAAGATATTTATTAAATAAACACAAAGTGCACAAATCATCCATGTTTATGAACAAACTTGATCCAGTGCCAATACAAAGTGTGTGATTAATCTGACAACCATGAAAAAAAAAAAATCAAAATTTAAGTATGAAAAATAATAAAGGGCAATAACTCCTAATTTATGCAAAAGAGAGTGATGGTTCCGGTGCTCTACACTTCTCCTTGTTGAGATATATCTACCTATAAAGTTTTATGTTTTATAGTTTTTGTGTTATGCTCTGAACAAAATTATGACAGATGGAAAAAGCGGCAACTATATGCTCTTCCTTCAGGGAGCATAAAAAACCTTACAAAGGAACATCCTGTCTTCCACAACTAAGGAAAGCTAACTTCTTTTACTATAAAGTATAACTTCAATATCTTTACCTTTAGTCCAATGTGGTTTAGAGGTACAAAATAACAAGTAATGTATGTTTGTTTACTACATATGCCTTTGAAAATACCAACACTATATAAATTAGCATGCCCCTTTTATGATCTACAAACCCAAATTTGTTAATGAATGGACAGCAGTCCACGCGAGATGCTGCCGGTCCGTCGGACATGTGTGGTAAAATTTGCATCGGTCCAGTAAAGATTTGCACAAGTCCGGACCGAATATCCAGTACAGATTTTCTACTTAATAGACTGCCGACCTTTATCAAACAAGCGTTTGACTCGGTTGATTTTAGACAAGTGTTTAAGCGTGCTTGTGATCGTGACTTGATATCCAAAAATGTTGCAATTTATTGAAGGCGCAGTGCCTGTTAGGCAAAAAAAACCTCAAATAACGGAGACAGAAAGAGCGATATAGAAGCTTGAAGCTAGCAGGAAGTATGAGTACAAACGAGCTCCTCATAAAATAAGTAAAAAATGGAAAGAAGATCGACAGTGGTTAGAGTTAGATATGGAGCAGAACACTAAAATGTAGAGATGTATCTTTTTATTTTAATAGATATTGCATGTCTTAATCAATGATTAAAATTACAAGGAATTTAATCTACATGTCTTCTCTTATCTTTTAATAATAAATATAATAATTTGCACCAAGACGTTTTTGGTCTAGTAAAATTTTTAACTTTACCAAAACGGAATGTCTGGTGAAAGTGAGTCTGGTCCGGTAAACTTTTGCCCTTCACCAGACCGAATGTCCTGTAAAAAATATCACATTTCGCGTGGACTGGGACAGTATATATTTCTATATGGACATAAATCACTCTTCATACAACAGTGAATTCTACAATATACCTGTACTTCTAGCTCACACTGATGTTCCTTCTGGATCATTTCATCCCGTATCATCTGTTTCTCCATGTTGATGGAACTCTTCTCTTTTTGGAGGGAGGATATTCTGTCTTCCATTTCCTGTAGACATACCACATATTTGTAACCAAGATGACAATGTAATTGTTCTACTACAGGTAATGGTGAAAATGTTCTAAAACTACGTGAAAAATATTTTACATTTTACTTCTGTTGGCGTTTCCATGTATTGCTAATTTTATCCAGGAAGTGGTACATGCCAAGTATTAGCCTATTCTATTTCTATATTTACTTCTTTACTGTAGAATTTACAATTTAATTGTCCTGTTAAAAACACAACCCTTGATATACTGGAATTGTTGCTGGATAAGTTTGTAGCTGAGTTAAACTGGCACGTATATATGAATGTAGTGTAAAATCTTACATACCTTATACTGTCTCGTAGATTTCTCAGCCTGTGATTTCAGTAGCTTAAGTTCTTGTTCAAGGTCAATGATATTCTACAAAATGCAAGGTCACCAGGTTCAGTATCGGAGAAGTTGAATGCATTGCCTAAGTTAATGGGGGAAAATGCAATGATACAAAAAATGTATTGGCAATATAAAAAGATGAACCTTACCTCTGACCTGTGGAGCTTGAGTTGAAGGTCACGGATCTCCGACTCATACCTCTCCTTGTTGTTACGTTCCTGTCTCTCACTAGCAGCCAGAAGTGAGCGTGCTTCACTGAGGGCCAGATTGGCATCGTGTAGTTCTCGTCTCAACTCTACAATAATCTGGTCATGTTTCTCCTTCTCCTGTTTAAACATACAATTCCATTTCTGTCACACTTTCCAAATACAATTCCATCTTTTCACTATACAGAGTTATCTCCTCTTATGACCAGGTATTGATTGTGATGTAACCAATTTGCAATAAAAAAATATACTTTTATCACACAAACTAGTGATGTTAAAAATTAATACCTACTCACAAGAACACATAACTCTACATTACAACACAAATCAGTAAATTGGAAGTTGTTGTCATAAACAGTACTGAGCCACTAATACCCATCATAAATGGTGTGATGCTTGTGTCAATATTGATGATTTAGTTCAGTTATGACATGGAAGACCTACACACAATGATAAGCTGACCTTTCCTCTAATGAGCGAGACAAGAAAGATTTATCTTTCCCAAAGATACATGGGAATATAGGTGACTGAAATTTAGGAGAAAATAAACTAATCACATGACTGTGATGTGTAGGAGAAAATTTCAAAAAACTTTCTGCTTAACTCATATGACAGAAAATTAAGCCAAAACATCTACATTATTTCCCTTGAACACCATCAAATTTCAACTACACATGCCACCATCTAATACCATTTCATTCTGACATCACAACATTTTTATCAAATCTTATGGCTGAACATGCTAGATATAGATAATACAGGAAAGAAGTTTTAAACTATAAGTGTGAAATACAAGTGTTTAGAGACCAGACATTTCTTACCTTGGTGAACTTCTCCTCCATAATGTGTACCTTCTGTTTGCTACCAGAAGTCTCGTGTTGTTTAGACTCCGTCTCTATCTGGAGCTCTCTCATCTTCACCTCCAGAGATTTTTTTTCTAGCCTCAGTCGATCTACATCCTCCATCAGAGTCTGTATGCGGTTCTCACGTTCCTTTGATGCTTTTAGTTCCCCCTCCAGACTCTTCACCTTAATCTCCAACTGTTCCACCTTTTCCTGATGACCTTTGACCTTTGTTTCCAGGTAATTGTTAGTTTGCCGAATATCTTCAGCATCTGCGATTTTGTTCCAGCGTTTTGTTGCTAGGATTTTCTGCTCCTCTAATTCTTTTTCAACACTCTGAAGCTACAGAAGGATTATTGAAACCTTAGAAAAATAATTACCGATACTACAAACTCAGCTTGAACAGAAGGTAAATTATCCTTTAAATATCTTAGGAATATTTATCTAAATATGAATGTAAGTTGTCACAAAATTATACACAATAACTATACATATCATACATAAAACAAATGAAGCGATCCTTAACTTTAATGGTCGATGTGACAACATTTTTTCAAATTCTTCAGCAGTCTTATCAATAATAAGATCATAATTCACATCACTAACTAAGTAATAACTTTAAGATAAAATACTGTCTGAACAGATGTTTCATCTACTTCTGATATTCTGGTTCAAGAGCATATGTCTACTAGCAACATAAGAGTATAAGTACAAAAGTCATGCAATATTAAGAATTAAAATTCAACTAGATCTGATTTCCTACTAAACCTTACCTTGATAGTGAGAGCATCTCTCTCCTTACACACTGCGGTTAGCTCGTTCAGTTTGCTTGTCTCTTTTTGTAAGTCTTCATTTCTCCTCTGAAGACCCTCTTTCTCATTTCTGAGTACGATTACCTCCCTTGCCTGGGATTCTGCCTCCTTTAAACGTTTGTTAAGGCTCTCCACCTTTTCCTCTAACTTCTTGACTGAGTGTTCCAGGGTTTCTTTGTCATCAGTGAGTCGTCTTACCTTCTGTGAAAGATCAAACTTTTCCTCTTTACACTTATTCAGTTGGTCCTTAGTTTCAATAAGATGTGACGATTTGCTTTCACACTCTTCTTTGACGCGGGACAGCTCAGATTTCCCAACATCTAAGTGACACAACTGGAGCTTGAGAGAGTCAATTTCAGATTTCTTTTCATCTTTCTCTTTCTCTAAATTTTTCTTTTCTTCTTCCAGTCCTTTCATTTTATCATTGGCAATTTTCAGTCTGCATAACAGCATGAAATAAAAAAATTGTATCATCATCAGTTACATGGGTACAAGAAAGGACGAAGCTTCAATTTCTGTTCAATGAATTACAAAAATAAACATTTCCTATAACAGTATATAAAGAATCTTTCATCAGTTTTCCATTCACCTAAAGTTTTTAAAACAAGACTTAAAAAATTTCCACTTCAATGATCAGTGACCCATTGATGAGCATGAAAATTGATGAGTTTCTATCACAAATATTCATGGTTTAGATTTTTTAGATTCTAAGAACCTTAGACTTTCTGGTTTTAAGCTTAAACCTTCTGGTTTTCAGATTTCATTCTGTGGACAGATCAGAAGGTAAATGAAATTATACCATGTTATAAGGATGTCATGTAATATACTGAAACAAGGAAATCTAGCCAACCACGGCTCCTTTAGGTGTGACTACGTGTGTTTGTAACCTTAGCCAACCACAGCTCACTTAGGTGTGACTACGTGTGTTTGTAACCTTAGCCAACCACAGCTCACTTAGGTGTGACTACGTGTGTTTGTAACCTTAGCCAACCACAGCTCACTTAGGTGTGACTACGTGTGTTTGTAACCTTAGCCAACCACAGCTCACTTAGGTGTGACTACGTGTGTTTTGTAACATTAGCCAACCACAGCTCACTTAGGTGTGACTACGTGTGTTTTGTAACATTAGCCAACCACAGCTCACTTAGGTGTGACTACGTGTGTTTGTTACCTTAGCCAATCACAGCTCACTTAGGTGTGATTACGTGTGTTTGTAACCTTAGCCAACCACGGCTCACTTAGGTGTGACTACGTGTGTTTGTTACCTTAGCCAATCACGGCTCACTTAGGTGTGACTACGTGTGTTTGTTACCTTAGCCAATCACAGCTCACTTAGGTGTGACTACGTGTGTTTGTTACCCTAGCCAACCACGGCTCACTTAGGTGTGACGTGTGTTTGTAACCTTAGCCAACCACAGCTCACTTAGGTGTGATTACATATGTTTGTAACCTTAGCCAATCACAGCTCACTTAGGTGTGACTATGGGTGTTTTGTAACATTAGCCAACCACAGCTCACTTAGGTGTGACTATGTGTGTTTGTTACCTTAGCCAATCACAGCTCACTTAGGTGTGATTACGTGTGTTTGTAACTTTAGCCAACCACGGCTCACTTAGGTGTGACTACATGTGTTTGTTACCTTAGCCAACCACGGCTCACTTAGGTGTGACTACCTGTGTTTGTTACCTTAGCCAATCACAGCTCACTTAGGTGTGACTACGTGTGTTTGTTACCCTAGCCAACCACGGCTCACTTAGGTGTGACTACCTGTGTTTGTTACCTTAGCCAATCACAGCTCACTTAGGTGTGACTACGTGTGTTTGTTACCCTAGCCAACCACGGCTCACTTAGGTGTGACGTGTGTTTGTTACCTTAGCGAATCACAGCTCAATTAGGTGTGACTATGTGTGTTTGTAACCTTAGCCAACCACAGCTCAATAGGTGTGACTACGTGTGTTTGTAACCTTAGCCAATCACAGCTCACTTAGGTGTGATTATATGTGTTTGTAACCTTAGCCAACGACAGCTCACTTAGGTGTGATTACATGTGTTTGTAACCTTAGCCAATCACAGCTCACTTAGGTGTGATTACATGTGTTTGTAACATTAGCCAATCACAGCTCACTTAGGTGTGATTATATGTGTTTGTAACCTTAGCCAACCACAGCTCACTTAGGTGTGATTATATGTGTTTGTAACATTAGCCAACCACAGCTCACTTAGTTGTGACTACGTGTGTTTGTTACCTTAGCCAACCACAGCTCAATTAGGTGTGACTACATGTGCTTGTAACCTTAGCCAACCACAGCTCACTTAGGTGTGACTACGTGTGTTTGTAACCTTAGCCAACCACAGCTCACTTAGGTGTGACTACGTGTTTGTTACCTTAGCCAATCACAGCTCACTTAGGTGTGATTATATGTGTTTGTAACATTAGCCAACCACAGCTCACTTAGTTGTGATTACGTGTGTTTGTAACCTTAGCCAACCACAGCTCAATTAGGTGTGACTACATGTGCTTGTAACCTTAGCCAACCACAGCTCACTTAGGTGTGACTACGTGTGTTTGTAACCTTAGCCAATCACAGCTCACTGTGTGACTACATGTGTTTGTAACCTTAGCTAACCACAGCTCACTTAGGTGTGACTACGTGTGTTTGTAACCTTAGCCAATCACAGCTCACTTAGGTGTGACTACGTGTGTTTGTAACCTTAGCCAATCACAGCTCACCTAGGTGATTACGTGTGTTTTGTAACATTAGCCAACCACAGCTCACTAAGGTGTGATTATGTGTGTTTGTAACCTTAGCCAACCACAGCTCACTTAGTTGTGACTACGTGTGTTTTGTAACATTAGCCAACCACAGCTCACTAAGGTGTGATTACGTGTGTTTGTAACCTTAGCCAACCACAGCTCACTTAGGTGTGACTACGTGTGTTTGTAACCTTAGCCAACCACAGCTCACTTAGGTGTGACTACGTGTGTTTGTAACATTAGCCAACCACAGCTCAATTAGGTGTGACTACATGTGTTTGTAACCATAGCCAACCACAGCTCACTTAGGTGTGACTACGTGTGTTTGTTACCTTAGCCAATCACAGCTCACTTAGGTGTGATTACGTGTGTTTGTAACCTTAGCCAATCACAGCTCACCTAGGTGTGATTACGTGTGTTTGTAACATTAGCCAACCACAGCTCACTTAGGTGTGACTACGTGTGTTTGTAACCTTAGCCAACCACAGCTCACTTAGGTGTGACTACGTGTGTTTGTAACCTTAGCCAACCACAGCTCAATTAGGTGTGACTACGTGTGTTTGTAACCTTAGCCAACCACAGCTCACTTAGGTGTGACTACATGTGTTTGTAACCTTAGCCAACCACAGCTCAATTAGGTGTGACTACGTGTGTTTGTAACCTTAGCCAACCACAGCTCACTTAGGTGTGACTACGTGTGTTTGTAACCTTAGCCAATCACAGCTCACTTAGGTGTGATTACATGTGTACTTGTGAATTATGTTGATGATTCGACACTTATTACAGGATCATCATGTCATAAAATACTGTTTAATATGTTTTGTTTTGCCATTTTGAGTTTAAATCAGAATATTTTATTTTATCCTTGACATATTTTGCCAGTGAAGGACATGAACTAGTGATAAAATATATATAAAAATATCTTCATCAAATTTCACTAATCCCAAGGGAAAATTAGATTCTGGTGAAAAAACCGGTTATATGTTATAAACATATTTCAATGAAACTCACTTGAAACTATCAAATTCTATTACCTGGAAGTTAATTAATTTGTTCATCTGCACAAAAGCAGGACTTTTACCTGATATCAGCATGCTCCTTGTTACGCAGTCTGACTTCCACCTCCCTGTCACGGGAGTCAGTGAGTTGTCTTTCCAGTCGCTCCAGACGTGATGTCATCCGTGAAATGGTCTGCGTAACATGAGTATGAACCTGGTGATCACCAGACACAACAGTGTTAGACTAGCATGCACTACAAGCTACACTGATAGCTACACAGGATAGAGGACAAACAGAGGAAACAGAGGACAGATCAGACAGACACTGTATACCAATGGGATTAGTGGTGGCTGGGTAGTGAGACAATGGGATTAGTGGTGGCTGGGTAGTGAGACAATGGGATTAGTGGTGGCTGGGTAGTGAGACAATGGGATTAGTGGTGGTTGGGTAGTGAGACAATGGGATTAGTGGTGGTTGGATAGTGGGACAATGGGATGAGTGGTGGCTTAGTGCATGGACAATGGGATTAGTGGTGGTTGGGTAGTGAGACAATGGGATTAGTGGTGGTTGGGTAGTGGGACAATGGGATTAGTGGTGGTTGGGTAGCGAGACAATGGGATTAGTGGTGGTTGGGTAGTGAGACAATGGGATTAGTGGTGGTTGGGTAGTGAGACAATGGGATTAGTGGTGGTTGGGTAGTGAGACAATGGGATTAGTGGTGGTTGGGTAGTGAGACAATGGGATTAGTGGTGGTTGGGTAGTGAGACAATGGGATTAGTGGTGACTAGGTAGTGGGACAATGGATTAGTGGTGGCTGGGTTGTGAGACAATGGGATTAGTGGTGACTGGGTAGTGGGACAATGGGATTAGTGGTGGTTGGGTAGTGAGACAATGGGATTAGTGGTGGCTGGGTAGTGAGACAATGGGATTAGTGGTGGTTGGGTAGTGAGACAATGGGATTAGTGGTGGCTGGGTAGTGAGACAATGGGATTAGTGGTGGTTGGGTAGTGAGACAATGGGATTAGTGGTGGCTGGGTAGTGAGACAATGGGATTAGTGGTGGTTGGGTAGTGAGACAATGGGATTTGATGTTACTTGATTGTAGGATGACCACATCATTGGTAGCTTGAGACAGACTACCAGATAAGGGTTGGCCTAACGATGAGACAAGCCAATTTGTAATAGATAAGTGAATAAGATTGATTGTAACCATGCAAAAAGACACAAACTATATATCCTAATGGATTAGAAAAGAAATGGAAATTATAAGTTAGTCTTAATATTCACAATAACAGATTTTTAATCAATCACTTTAGTTGCTTTTGTGTAACACAATTGAAACAGTCATGGAGGCATGGAATTATTCCATCATATATTAGGACACTTGTATCTGATGTTAAAAATATAACATGTTAAGTGTGTGAATAATATTTACGTAAATTAATGTGTGCATCAACCTTGATGTATGCAGAAATTCTGAGACTTAGAAGACAGTCAGCCATTAAGTTTCTGACAGGTATTTCTAGCCCCCTCAAACTAAACATGTGAACAATTCTACAGTTGTTTTGGTCTAGATCTCAGCCTGACACTTTCAAAGCAGATTCTGCTGATGCAACTGTTTCAACCTTTTACAGAAAGCAACTAGACTTAAAACAATTTTTTCTATTTTCAAATGAATTATCTTAACAACATGCAAAACATAACTAACAAATAGTGATTAATAAATGAAACAATCTGAAGACAAAACATATTTAAATCAAAATTTCTAATTTATGTTTAATTACAGTAGATGATTTTCTCACATGGTTAATCATTAAATGTTGTCGAGAGTAAGTGTTCCTTGGTAGATACATGACAGTTTTGCTTTTTCTCCATTACCAGTGAAACGTTTCATCTCAATCTGTAGTACCAGTAGAGAACTGATGTAAACATATACTCTTAAATCACTAACTTTCATTGACTTATTGGATACTTTAAACCAAAAATTTACACAAATCATTAATGGTAAAACTGGTCATGACTTTTACTGGTATCAGAAGATATCTGAATATTATTCATCTATGCAAGTGCCCAATTTTCTCCTCCTGAAAAGGCAGGAAATTTAAGCCTCACAAAAATACATAATCTTTACAGTAGTCTCATCTGGTAGTACTGATGGATACTTATAAAAAATAAACATCAACACAAGGTTAAATGTAGGGTAAACAACAAAGAATAAAGGTAAAGAGAAAACAAAGCAGCAAAGCCTACAACAGCCAAAGCACTACATGCCATGTTATTCGTACCCTTTCAAGCTCTGCAACCTTGAAGGTTTTGTTATCCACCTCCTCCTGGAATTTTATCACATCAGCAAGAAGGCGCCTCCTTTCTGTACGCAAGAGCTCAACATCTGCTTCTAGGTCCTTCAACCCCAAACACTCTACATGAGCTAATGTCTTATTTACCATTTCTGTCACTGATAAATTTTCTGTATTTTCATATATCATGCTTAAACTTATCTTCATTTCAATCATTCAAAATATACACTGATTTTTTCTAGTTGTACCTGTAACTCCTACAGCATGCATGTTCTTGAGTTATTGATGCTCTGATTTACACAAAGTGCTTAGCAAATTATACATATTTTCATGTGGTAAATTGAGCAGCATGTGCAAAGGCATGATTTGATATTATACTTAAGGATCTGAAATATCATGATGATAACATATAAGTATGCAAGAATGAGTAATCAGCGATAGCAGACATTACTTGTTACTATTTAGCTGATGTGGTGATAACTTATTACATGAAATAGTTATGAAACAATATTTCAGTCTATAACAGTAAGACATCTATCCCAGAACTCCAGGCATTGTTCGCATGTACCACTCAAAGAATTTAACTGATAATTTACTTTGAAGTAATAGGCAGGCAAGTGAGCAGTAGATTGAAGCGATTTATTTCAGAGTCCTGGGGTCAAGAGAATGCTTTAGTGGAATAGCCCCTGGTAAGAAGAAATTGTATTTCTACCTAGCTTTTCCAATATAATAAATATAGAATCTTGAGTCCATTATATGTGTAGGTAATGAAACAAGAACTTTTCATTCTAGAGAGCCTCTGGCTAGATAAAATAAGAAGGATGTCAGATATATCATGAGCTGCATATGAAACAAAAACAAAATGAAGATCATTCTTACCACAAGCAGAGATCAATCTATGAGTTATATTCACAAGTACTTCAAAACTTTAGCACTAAACCTATGGATCCCACATCCATTGATTTTGTAGATTTATCACGGTATATGTTCCATTAATGTTACACATATCACAGAAAACATTGCTTCACCTATCACATCTTCACTCCACAGTGATGTTCTCCATTTTGATATCGTAATGTAATCTATGAATTTGTGAGTGATGTTGTTATATTTTTAATGACTGACATCACAATAGGTTATGTTACAGATGTGTAATACACAAAAAATGAAGTATAGTGACTAAATAACATGGCAATCATCTGACAATGATATGTTAATCATAAACACTTTAGAAGCCTGTACAGCTCTGCAACAGTTATCTACCTTGACTCTCTTCTCTACCATGGAGGTATGTTTAGCCTTTTCATCTTCATCCTGATTTGCTTGTTTAACATTCTCACTCAGATCCTGGCAAAGTGAAAAAGAATTGGCATTACCTATTTGGCTACATAACTGAACATTTTAGCAAAAGCCTTGTGACAGTTAAAAGCATTACCATAGTATTCTGTCCACAGCAATACAAATGCCAGGTAAATAAGCAATCAAATCAGAAATGGCGGCAGGGACAAATTGATTCGGCCTCTTTTTCGACAGATGATCTAATTTTGGCCTTGTGGTCACAAACAGGAAGTGTAGGACAGCTCTTGTGCTTTAATACAGACCAAAATGAAAAAGGAGGGTTCTATTCATGAATTCAGAATAATCAATTGACAATATCTACACTGCTCTCCAAATTGTGGAAAAATTGAAGTCGTGATTGTTTGATTTTGCATACAACAGAACACCGAACCTAAGTCATAGTAAGTACTTTAACATGTAATTCATATGCATGATATTGAACTAATGACAAGAAAACAGTATGAACACCCAGAATATTATCAAACATACCGAAGCATGAAAGATGCAGTGACTTTTAAGTGTAATGTGAACATCACAAAAGCACTTGAAAACTTCCATTTCTGTATTAGTGATTTTTGGGACTAAAACATTGGAGTCTTGGCTTTTCCTGTTAGATTCCCTCTAATTTTAACAACTCACTTCATTCATACTTTTGAGACTGGACTTTTGGAAATATTGCTCTGGACTCACCAGAATAGAATATAATCCTAACAAAAATTACTGCTATACAGAAAAAAACCATGACACAAAAACATTGCTGAAGTCAATGTAACATGATTTCTTGGTTGCAGAGACCTATTTTTGTAAGTGATAATGAGTTGAGTTTTAATATGCAGGACCAAACAATTGTTGATGAACTACACAACTGAGTCTATTTCCTACCTGTAGTCTCTGCTTCAGCTGCTTAACTTCCTCCTGGTAGAACCGCACCTGATGAGAAAGGCCATGTTTGGATTTCTCTGATGACTTCAGCTCCTGTATAAGTGAATCCATCTCTCGCTGTGACTGCTAATAAAGACAAAGGAAGAGAAATAATGAGATCATCATTTGTTAGAGCAAAGTTTCATTCATCAGAACATAGAGGCTAAGCGTGTCCAATGGTCTTCAAAAAAACAAAATCAAGCTCTAACCCACAAATATTTAAATCTGCAAACTTTAATATAACCCATGTTACATATACATCAGGATTTTTTCAGGCCCTGGGTACCTGAATTTTAACACTCAGGTCCTCAACCCAATGTGAAACGTACCTGTGTCTAGTGGGGCTCCTAACCGAGGAAATACTAAAATAAACTCTGTGTGAAGAATGCTACAGGGACAATATTATTGTATTCCAGGTACACAATTTCAAACCTATCCTTACACATGATCTATAATACTTAACTTACGTCTATGGTATCTTGTAAGTTGATTCCAGGTACACAATTTCCAACCTATCCTTATACATGATCTATAATACTTAACTTACGTCTATCGTATCTTGTAAGTTGTTCTCTTTCTCTCTCCACTCTTCTGCCTGAATGTCCAGCATTTTTACACGCTCTTCCAGCTCCTGTAACACAAATCAGTTATAAGATATGACTTCATATATGAGTATATCACTGGTCAGGAAGTTTTGTCAAATGTGCTTGAATGACTAGATTTTTAAGGTTAGGAATAGATAAGAGCTGCGTAAGGTAACTAATGCACTTTTATTTTTAATGGTTAACACGTATTAAAAGTGGTCCGATAAGTTAGCTAGTCACAAACCACAGTATGACGGGTCACATAAGTTAGCTAGTCACAAACCACAGTATGACAAGTCACATAAGTTAGCTAGTCACAAACCACAGTATGACAGGTCACATAAGTTAGCTAGTCACAAACCACAGTATGACGGGTCACATAAGTTAGCTAGTCACAAACCACAGTATGACGGGTCACATAAGTTAGCTAGTCACAAACCACAGTATGACGGGTCACATAAGTTAGCTAGTCACAAACCACAGTATGACGGGTCACATAAGTTAGCTAGTCACAAACCACAGTATGACGGGTCACATAAGTTAGCTAGTCACAAACCACAGTATGACGGGTCACATAAGTTAGCTAGTCACAAACCACAGTATGACAAGTCACATAAGTTAGCTAGTCACAAACCACAGTATGACGGGTCACATAAGTTAGCTAGTCACAAACCACAGTATGACAGGTCACATAAGTTAGCTAGTCACAAACCACAGTATGACAGGTCACATAAGTTAGCTAGTCACAAACCACAGTATGACAGGTCACATAAGTTAGCTAGTCACAAACCACAGTATGACAGGTCACATAACCAAAAGTGATTTCATGCCAGATAATCAAAACAACAAATCAGTCACAAAAGAGTTCATACCTCAATTCTTCTTTTTCTATTTTCAGAGTCTTTACTTTCCTGCATTGGACACGACTTCAGCCAAACCCGCAATTCCTGTAAATAAATATCTCAGTAAACAATAACTGACTTACAGATAAGATTTAAGTAAAAGAAGAAAAAAGAAAAGGAAAAAAAAGAAAGGACAAAATCATCAGGATCCCCCGGCCCTGTTCATTACATATATTACATTTAAAGTGACTACTATATCTTGAACACTTACCTCTCCAGGCATATTCACAAATAAATATATGATATTGCAAACACTGATCTAGAAATGACTTTAAATTCACAAAGGATGAGCTATTACAGACCAGGGATCTGATTTTGATAATCAAATCAACATGAGTCATCCATTTATTTTCAAACTGCAAAGGATTTGAATTCAAGATTGGGTGCCAACACATACATGTGTGAAAATAAATTCCATGATTTTCTTATTTCAAACATTGTCTGATTAGAGATAGGATCATAACAGGCTACCATTTTGTCTATGAGGCCACCTCCATCTACACGTCGGAGAAGTTCTTGCTCTCTCTCCAAGAAGTCCTTCTCCTGTAGCTGGTATGCTTCTAACAGATCCTCCAGCTCCTATAACACATCAAAACAATGCTGGTTAGTGTGTAATCAACTGTACGGGGTCATGGTTATCATCCCCTGCATACACTAGTGTTTGGATAATGATAAAAGAAAAATTATGAGAAGAATTTCTCTTGTGTATTACTAACTTGAATCTTCCTATTAAGATCCAAAACTTCAACGTTTTTTTCTTCCATTTTCATCCTCCATGCCTCATTTCGTTTCTCCATGTTTGAAACATCGCGCTTCATACCATCAACAGACTTCCGTTGCTCCTGTAACAAGAAGACATTTATCCAGTTGTGAGTGGTATCATAATCTCCACTACAATCAAAACAGAAACACTGACAATTACCAGGAGCATCAACAAAAATAAATACTTTTCCTATAAATATATCACCAACCACTTTCACTGACATTGCCAATGCTATAAGGAACCCTAACCTCCCTCACAAATTTTAAGGCAGGGTCATATACATCTAACATTGTTCCATCTATAAAGGTTTCGTAAAGATTGGTGTAAAACATCACAAGGGAAAGATACAGTAAATAACTGTTTTTAAACACATATTCTCAACACAATTTAACAGGGTAATTGTGAGATAAAAGTTACAATCACTTCTTGACATCATTCTCTCGGCATGCATAAAAGTCAATTCAAGTGAACAGTAAAGCTGGACCTTCAGTTATAAAACCAAACTGGAAAGTCAGTCAAACTACTTGTCAACTTAAATTTTCTAACTTTGCTTTCAGATGGCCCTTTATGATATCCAGAGTTAACACTTGGCTTAGACACCACATTTGGCACAGCTTTGGTTAAACATGAGGTAACACCTTAGATGGCCCTTTATGATATCCAGAGTTAACACTTGGCTAGGACACCATATTTGGCACAGCTTTGGTTAAACATGAGGTAACACCTTAGATGGCCCTTTATGATATCCAGAGTTAACACTTGGCTAGGACACCATATTTGGCACAGCTTTGGTTAAACATGAGGTAACACCTTAGATGGCCCTTTATGATATCCAGAGTTAACACTTGGCTAGGACACCATATTTGGCACAGCTTTGGTTAAACATTACATCTTACCTTATCTAGTTTTCGTTGCAGCTTGGACATTTGCTCTTGTTGATTTTCAAGCTGCTCCCTGCATAATGCCAGTTGTTTTTCTCGGCTCCTGAGTTTTGAACGCAGGTTACAATTTTCCTGCTCAAGTTCAACAACAACGTCCTGAATCTCTTCCATCTCTGACCTAAAACACAGCAATTTAAAAGTAGGACATCAATTTCAGTTAAAATCTCAACAAATGAACATTTATAAGCACTGCATAAGAAAGGCAGGGTTGGAGATGCTTCATTACATAATTCAATCATCTGAGAAGACATTTAAAACCATACTGGTGCTGGCTTAAAACAAAACCTAACAACACTTTAAAGTTATTCATTTCAACTAAGATAGACAGATAGACTCTGAGAAATATAACTGTGATAAATGAATTCAGACTCATGGGGACTATACACTTGGTAATCTTCCCCTTGCAACCTATCAAGTAAATTCTGACATGAAAACTGGAATGGATACTTATGTCCATCTTGAACTGAAGACTGATATGCAAAGCGGAGGAAAAAGTGTCCAGTGGCACTGACAGTCACCTGAGAGAGGCAATATTGAATATAAAGTTTATAGGACAAGTAACTTTTAAGTGTCAAGAAAACCAAATTGTGACAATAATGACGGTAGGACTTAAATGATATCTTTTAAGCCCTTGGTGTCAACCTGTGTCAATTTAAACATCCTATTAAAACTATCACCCTATACTTACCAAGTTCTTACAAATAAAAAAAACCAATAACAATATTATGGTCAAAAACCTTATTTTCCAATAAAAGTACTTTACTCTCTCCCCAGGAAGACATATGAAACACTGGGGCTATGAAATTCATTCTTTTGGTAAAGCACATTAAGACACCTCAATCAATGAAGAGCATTCTATCATACCTGGATGTTGAGAAGAAGTTTTTGAAATTTAAATCAATCACATTTCTTTTGGCCCTGCCGATCTGTCCAGAGGGGCCAGCCAGAATCATTATGTGCCATTAAAACCTCAACCTTTGCTCATAACTCTAACGAAGTTTGAAATATTTCAAATGGAAATTAAACAAATTATGCTCAAAAATCTATTTTACCATCTCCCGAGGGAAAATGAGACCCTGGGGTCATGAAATTCAGAGTTTTGGTAAAGCATCTTAAGAGGCTTCCAACCATGAAGAGCAATGAATACTACCATATCTGAGTGTTAAGAAGATTTTCAAAATTTGAGTAAATATGACCCCTTTTGATCCGTCCCCTCAGGTCCCTAGGGGGTAGGACTGTATTATTCACTATTTTGGTTCATCTTTGGACTAGAAAAGTTTCTGCAAAATTTCACTGAAATCAGTTCTAGAATTTTTGAGAAGACATGGAAAATGTTAAAAGTTAACCGCCAAACAAGAAGAGACATAAAATGATTGCAATAACTCACCATAAGACTTTGTCCTAGGTGATCTAAAAACATCATTCAGTGATTGCATTGATTCATTAAATTGTCTCCCCTTGATGTGACTGTGAAGCCTTAATGTTATATTTATACGATTATCATTGCTTTCTACATGTAGAACTAAATTACAGTACTAATCCTCAGTATAGATTCTCTGTATGAGTTTCTTCCCCTAGTGAGTATATGAAAATGTACCTGTGGATCTCTGCCTCTATTTGCTTGGCCTCTGTCTGCATATCTTTTAAGTCAACATACAGATTTTCTGCCTTCAGCTCCAGATGGTCTCTTTCTTGGAGGGCCACCTCCAGCTGCTCCTTCAAATCCTGTCACAATAAATTTCAAAGAAAGTGAATTTCAACTCATCGTCTAACATTTGGAGGTACCTCTAGATTGTCTTCTCTTTGTAACATCTTACACTGACTTGATGGATACTGTATGTTTCTCCTATATTTCGTCAAACAGATCTCTACAGATCTCTGTCAAAATTCCCTTACATCAATTACAGAACAGCTCTCTGTCAAAATTCCCTAACATCATTTCCAAAACAGATCTCAAAATGCACTGACATCCCATATAAAAAAGATCTTCCTATTCAACTCTATTGAAATTTCTAACAATCCTTACAGTAAATCTCTTTAGGTTGGTAAAATCTACACTACAACATCACTTGTTAAAGACCTTAATTTAAAACCTCTCTACATAAGTTCTCTTTCCTCCTTAAGTCACTTATCCATGAATTCTCAAGAAATAACAATAACAAAAATTACGAAGAAAAAGATATCCAATGTCCAAGAGGTAAGGCTGGTAAGTCTGGTATCACTCCACAGCGGATTCCCTGAGGGAATACCGAGTCCGGTACCAAAGGATAGGTTAAAAAATTGGTAAGCAGGTCCTGCTTACCGATTTAATAACAAAAATTGTTAACTGAGGAAAGTAAGATAGACCACAGGTGATTTTATTTATTGAAAAGCTGCTAACATTGTAAAGCATTTCATCATGATGTTGTAACAAAGACATTACAGCCATCACCTGATGATGGCCCCAGGACTTGAAATGTTAGTGATAATGTCAGTAATTTATAAGCTTATAATCTTATATCTCTCTACATATATCCCTTTCCCCTGTAGCCAAAAGCTCCCCTCCCCACCCCTTCTTAAGCCTTGTGTCTAAGATTTCTTATCCCCACCTATTTCTAAGACCCTCACCTGAGATCTCTCTACATATCTTTGAAGGTCCGTCTGAAGTCCTTCATTCTCTATATTCAGTCTAGACAGCTCATCATCTTTCTCCTGACTCCTGAATCTAAGACGCTCCATTTCTGCTTTCAGTCGGCACTCCGACTCCTCCAGCTTGTGACAGTTCTCTTTCATTGTCTTTAGTTCTGCGACCTTTACAGTTAGAGTGACTTGAAGGTCAGCATGTCCCTGTAAAGTCTTCGCTGGGACATAGTATTCTGTCCCAGTTGAGGAAAAGTCTGACGAGTCAGATGAACTACCACATTGAACACTGAAAATATCAAGAATACAGTTGTTTATGTTACTATACAAATTCTTATTGTAATCATAGTTATTACCAAAAATCCTCTACACTATCCATGTAGTCACCAATTGCAAACATTAGAGGCTATGTTTAGAGTTGTCAACCTCATTATAAATTTACAGCCATTGTTTTTACAATATATACAAAGGTATTCTGTCAAAACTTTCAATCTGTGCTACCTTTGGGGCTGAGTGTCTTGTTGCTGTTTTCTTATGTAAGTAAAGCCAAGGAAGGGCAGGTCTTTTCCTGTAAATTCTTGGGGCTTCTGGAAATCTTCAAAAGTAGGTTGGTACCGCACTCTCTCCAGTTCCTCAAAGTTAGAGGTATCGTCCAGACAAGAAAGGTGGGGCACAAATGGAGGTTTTTCTGTTAAACAAACCAAATCTGTTCCATCAACAAGTATCAATTATTTCTACATAAGACTACAATTCATTGAACCATGAAATCTGTTCCATCAACAGGTATGAATTATTTCTGCACTGACTACCATTCAATGAACCATACACATTTATGTTAATGAAAGGTTTACTTCATGTTGAGAAGCAAACTTCAATATCTACATATAATACATACAATGTAATAAATTTAACTATTGGATAAGAACAACATATAGATAATGTCCCTTTACAAAGAATTCCATTATTGTGTCCTGTGAATTCTCATAAAAAAGCACAAACATGTTTCTCCTCATTTAAAAAAACAAACAATACGGAGTTATCAGTTTGTTTACAAAGTAAGGATGGATCTACTGATCTTAATTTAGACATACTTAATTCAGTGACACGTAAAAAGTCAAAACCAACCTTACTGTTATGTTTAACTCTAAGAGAGCTAAGGGCTTCCTGATTCTACAGAGTAGTAATGTGATCGGTTATAATCGATTATCTAATTCTTTAACCTCATCTGATGTGATGATCAATGGTAATTTTTCATAATCGGTTCCTTAGTATTTTCTTATGTTTTAGAAAAACTAAGTTCATATCAAGTGTAATAATTATGCCAATTTCCAATAACATTCATTCTGATGCAAATTCTAGATGAAGGCTGAAAGTTACATAAAGAAAAATATTATATTGATGAAGAATGCTTTAACATTCTTTGAATTTTGAACATACAGCCAGACAATCTTGTAATCGATTAACCACATCATAAAGTCTATCCGAGTATGCCTTAAGCTCATTCCCAGCATTACCTTGTCTAATTTCATCCCAGTTGATAGAGCTGAAGAACTTGTGTTTGGTAATTCCCTTGAAGCTGAGACGCTCTTCCTTATCTGTGAGGAGACTTCGGATTAGGTTCACAGCCGAAGATGACACTTTGGGTTCTTCGGGAAATTTCAAGCATTTCTGTGAATACACAAATCAAGAGATGTTGTCAAGGAAATCAATTGGATATTCACAGTCAGTATCATGCAACTCTCGACCAAACCATCTGGACAACAGAACTATCTTTTTATAGAACAATGTAATGAAAATGGTCCTTTTTTATGCAGAATCTTCAATTTGAACTAAGGTGTTCCATTTTATAAAGATCTTCAACTTGAGAACTCAGTAAGAAGCTCACTATGAAGGTCAACTGTTATAGGATTTTTAAACATTTTGGGAATTAGTCTTTATGTCATATCAGTTTGGAAACAAAAATTTGTCTAACTGCAGTTCAAATTTTCATAAACTGCAAATTTAGTGACTTCAACAAAAAATCACTTTCATTTACAATGGAGCCAATTTCTAGCCCTAAATCATCCTCGGAGAATGCCCTATGTTGATATCTAGCCTCTGTTTAAACAGGTCATAAGAGAAATCTAGTCTAGCACAGATAATGAGTCCCTCATCTCACCTTAAAGTTCATGATATTGGAGTATGTAATGACCATCGAACCCCCTTTGTCTGTGAAGGGAGTCTTGCCAAATAACATTTCATAGAGACAGATCCCGAGGGACCACCAATCCACCTCCACACCATTGTTACTTTGGCGCTGCTCATTGTTCATTGTGATCAACAACTCTGGAGACACATAATCTGGAGTCCCTACTGGCATTTGCGAAGACACCTAGTTGGCAAAGGAAAGGTTCAGTCATGAGAGTTAACATTTCTAACACAATAAATAATAAGAGTTAAAGGGGAAAGGGGGAAGAAGGAGAAAGAAAGTCTTTGAGCTTTCAATTTTAAATATTATGGAACAGAAATATTACAGTAAAAAGTTCTTTTTCAGAAGCGAGATAATAATTTGTAGATAGGTGACTACATACCTGTCCATCAGACGATAATTTGGCAGCTGACCCAAAGTCTGCTAATTTAACGTGGCCCAAGCAATCAAGCAGTATATTCTCTGGCTTGATATCCCTTCAACAAACAATCAATCATATAAGTACACTTTCAGTCATGACACAAAATTCAAATATATATAAGAGCTGTTCAATTTCATATGCAATATCTTTCATCTACTGTTAGTTACAACAGCTTTTTGGTTTTTTTTATTCATGCTGTTAAAAAACGTCATAACCAAACATAAAAACAACATCTCATTAAAAAAGAATCATTTTGTATCTTGAAAGCTTTTCTTGCCTTTTTGAAGTATTGTGTTCTTAATGTTCTTAAAAATGATTTACATGCTAACTTAAAAAAAACTTTGATTTCCAAGTTATTGATTTTGAAAAAAAACAATTTAATGTTTAATATTTCAAATGTTAAATGTTGACACAATCTTTAACAGAGAAATCCTGACAAAATAGAGATTTAAAACCAACTCACATAACACAGCACAGCATCATGCTTTTACCAGGTAAGTACTTACCTGTGAACATATCCCATGTTATGTAAAGCATCCACCGACAAAGTCATCTCTGCCAAGTAGAATCTGGCCATCGATTCCTCAAATATATCATCATGTCTGAAACAACAATCACACAGATTATAAAATCACAATGATCAGAGACCCCAGCTTCAACCTCAGTCAAAAAATCTATAAAAACTCAAAATTAATGAATAGTAATTACCTGGACAACAGAGTGAGAAGGTCACCTCCAGCATGAAAGTCCATGACAAGATGGAGGTTTAGAGAGTCCTGGAATGCATAGTGAAGACGAGTGATCCAGGGACTGGTGGCCTTTGCCATGATGTCTCTTTCTTCTTCATAAAACGAAATCTAAAGAAAACAAAATTCAGAAACTCATGTTCTTTGTTATTTATAATTTTCAGTAGCCTATGATCCTGAAACATTTTCCTATATTCAATACATTATGAGTAATATAATTAATGGAAACAAGTCAAAATTAGGTGATTAGAATATCTATTAAGGCATTGACTTTTCACTGAACATGTCCTTGTGCTACTTTTTATTTACCTCCTGCTGTGCCAAAGTTTCATTTTTACGCAGGATCTTCATGGCATACACAGTATCTGTGCTTTTTTCCCTCACTACCAGGACTTCTCCAAAGTGTCCTCGTCCAATGGCATCCTTCACCTCAAAATCTGTTGCCTTGATACGTAGTTTCTTAATCTCACATATTGTCTTGCCATCTACAAAAATGCAGTTTTTATTTACAGCTTACAGTGACATAAACAAGACCTGGAATGTCCATTAACACTTATATCTTTGTGTTTGAGGCAGTCTCTTTACATCTTGGAAGGGACGGGCAGGGGAAATAAAATAATTGCTTCTTTGGACTGCATAAGCTGAATAAATCAATATTGTACAGACTGGTATTAGGAAAAACTTACATATCAAGAGACTTAATCAACAGATAAGGAATTCCTTTTTTCAAAATTATTAATTAATCTCTTCATGTGCATATTTCAGTGAAAACCAACTATTAGATGATACACTTTATATACCTATGCAATAATGAAAAAAATCAGTAAAAAATTGTTCTATCGTGATGTCACTTCAAAAACCATCAAAGAAAAACACTGTAATTGGATTTGGTTGTAAAGTATTGGCGAGAATTATAATTTACAAACATAACTGTGCAAGACATACAATTTATGCATACAACATGCCAGTTTAAATGTTTTTCAAACTTACATTTTTTGACAAATGCTGCCACATGTTTGTTTTGCTTGACAAACTCGTGCCCACATTCTTCATACAGTGTAATGAGGGCATCTAAAAGTCCCTCTTTGGTGACAAGTGAAGTGTGGATCTCTGACGTCGCGACATTGCCTTGTATCAGGTCATCCAACACACGAATGCGATGACAAATTGAATCCAGACTCATCTCCATTTCGACATTTGATGCCACCTCATGTCCGAAATTTCAATAACCCTAATAAAACAATAAAAACAATGAAATATCTTCAAGCTTTTATAATGGTAGGAAAATAAGCATTTAGTTTTTGTCTACTGAACAAGAAATCATATTTATTTTGTTAGCTTTCAATAACATCTCAGATCCAAGACATTATCTTTTACATGTAAAACAATGAAAACCCTAGTTTATCCAATATCATGAACACTTTCAATGGCTGTTTTTAGAGGAAAAAACAACATATCCAGGACTTTTTTAAGCCAATAATGGACCCACATTCCTCTCATGCAAGCAAAATTTTCAATTTACTCCTGAAAATTTACTAATTTTCTTCCAAAACTGAGGTAAAAAATCAAACCAGAGAAAAAAAATTCCTTGCATTTTTTGGATTTATATATCTGAATAGAATACCACTATGGTGTCTGATTACCAACATTTCAAATACTACACCTATTGGACTACAGCTCAATTTTGTCAAATTACTTTCTGTCACAAAATTTTGTATACATTGAAACAATTGTTGTTTACATCAAAATTAATACTATAAATAAATGTGATTCTGTAAATTGTTTTGTCATCAATCATTATTGTTTGCAGCTTATTTTATTTTGATAAGTATCAATGGCCATTTCTTTAAAATAAATGTACCGAACTTGTGTGACCAAAATCTTATTAATTTTTACTTCTGTAAAAAGTTTTGGTCGCTTTGATTGAAAAATTGCTGCTCGGTTTTTACCTCTATATATCATTTGTAACCAATAGAACTTAATTGTTTATTGAGTGAATGCCTCTTTATCATTTAAAAATTCAAATTCGTTCCCAGTGAGGTACGATACTGTCATCAAATGTTATTCAACTTAAACATCAATTAATGCTGACTTGAATGGATTTTACATCTTATAATTTCTTACAAAAAAAATCTATGCAAATCGATAAATAAATCTATGTACCGTAAGTGTGTGAAATATATTCAGTTTTATTCTAAATACTGAACGTAAAATTGAAGTTGTCCTGTGAGGAAAGACTTGTGATCCTCGCCTATACATCTATCAAGTTAGCATAGCACAAATAGTAAACAAGAGTAACAGCATTAAGATAGGGAGGTCGGCGACGGTCATTTACAGGCTTATTACGTTCTGTTGGAGCAAAAAACCCCATTTTTTCGGGTTTTTCACACTAAAATTAAAATATCAAATAAGCGTAGTTGGGGGATAGAAATATATCAAAATAAAGTTCAAGACTTCTATTTTCTTATTTTGGTAATTATTTTGTAATAAGATATAAATTCCTACCATTGCATGGAGTTCGAAGTGAAGTCGTTTCCAAAAATTCGGCCGCCATGTTGATTTATGTGTCAACAAGTGTGCCAAGTTCAGAATTAAATCCGCTGGCTATTACTGGACCAATTTTTACCATTAATGGCTTAAAATTTAGGAAATATAGTCTAGTTTTTGAAACTGAGTGATCTCTTTTGAAAAAGTATAGGGATCACACTGTAAAAAATATAAATTTGCAAAACAGTGTTTTTTTACCGTGATATCACTTCGCCGCGAACAGGGATCACTTGGATTATGGTAGCCTGGACCTTCATCTAGCGATTGGTAACCAAGGTTTCAACAAAATAACAAGAGCAGCCAGCGGAAATCATTGGATATTTGAATGACTTTTGCCACAATGTTTTGTTTGTATGAGTTATCGAACTTTGCTGCTGCTGCAGGCCGGGTGCAAATCCTCCCGACCCGGTAAACAAAATTGACCAATGGGACATCAGTATGTCCATTCGGAACATTTTGGGGTTTTTATGTTAAATATCAAAGGAAACATTCGATTTTCTTTAGGATTTATATAAAAGTATGTTTTAGAACAAAAGAAAAAAGGGGGGGGGGGGGGGAATAGTTGCTGTGGTTAAGAAAAATATGTTTGGGGGTATAACAAAAACATTTTCTGAACACAGAACCATACTTTACTTTTCTTAATCTTTTAAGTCACAAATACAAATTATTTTCCATGAAATAAATGAATGAACATTTGATGAGAAAACAATTTTCTCTGTAAAATATCATGATTATACTCCCTCTCAACTAGCCCATTCTTCTTAACTCAGAAAGTTGATTTTGGTCTATATCTTGGTTGTTAAATTCCTTCTGAATGTAAGAACTGCCCTTCTTTATCAATGCAAGGGGGTATTGTTGAAGTGAAAGAAAGTTGTTTTATTTATTTTGTTGAAATTCTTTATATTTTTAATTGTTTTGCTAATTTATGACACTTTTTAAAATCTCTTTTATTTATTTAAGTTTTATTTTACCTTATTTTGGTTTCTTTTTAAGTTGTCAAATTTTTCAGAGGAAGAATAATAATTGTGATTTATTTTATTTAATTTTTAATCTAAATAAATCTTTTTCTAAAAAAAAAAAAATTATTTTGATTTATTTTCTTTTTAGTTTGTTTACACGCTCTGATATACTGATTTTCATTTTATTTTTGGTAAGTGTGATAAGTTTTATTTACAATCCAATACACTTTTTTATTTGCAGTTTGATAAGTATGTGATGATTGTTTTTACTTTTTTTTCAATACTATCAATGAATTAATTAGATAACAATTTTTATGACCGTTAAATTTTAACATTGATGTTAAAAATAACTTATGCTAGATAATGACAGATTTACCTATTTTTTGTGCTTTTATCTTAATCTTAAGGATAAACTTATAAAGACAAGAATAACCGTGTTTCAACTCTTAAGGCTTATAAAAGGTGAACTAATATCAACAGGAACATTTTTTCTCAAATGATATTGTTTGTAGGAGTAAAAAAAAAATTGGGGGGGGGGGTTCACCTTCTGAGAATGTTTGATTTTGGGGTAGGGCTAGGTTTTTATAGAAATACTTGGTGCTGTTAATAGATAGAGGTACAAATATGTGCTAGTTGCATTCTACATATTTCTATCTTTAAAATGATACCTTATACACCATACAATAGTTTATATTCTTCTCGCATTTCATGATTAAACACAAATTTCAGGTTTTATCCAAAATTTTCAAAACGTAGAAAAACAACCTTAAATGTTGCAAAAAATTGTTGTTTTGAGTTAAAACTTGATCATTTGTATGTAGAAATAAGCATTCTTATATAAATTGTCATT